GGGGAGAACATAATCCACTTTCTCAGTACCCATATTTGATGTATATGTTCCGAACTTGGGGTGTCGATTTCACTGTTGAAGTTGACAAAGAACTCCCGGACTAAACTCTCATATAATAGGTGTGGCCGCTCTACCAATTTGTGCCAACTACAAATTTGAACCAGGTTCACCAATTCAAAACTTGGGAAATCATCAAGTCAAACCAGTATTTGAGGGAACATCACTCCATGGCGTATGATGTTCTCATATCGGGCTATGATCTCAGCGTTTAAGAATCTCTGAATGCCCCCTTTGGACTCTCTAGTTCGCCATGTTCCTGAAGATGAGCCGGCTTTTTCTTTCCCTTTTGAAGTTCTCTTAGGTGGCATCCTGCAAAAACACACCAATTTCAATTTAGACCATGAAGTATAATAAATTAGCAAGAAAGCGTGAAATATCAAACACATAGCAATAAAACCCACCAAACTTGTTTCAAGATGCATGTATAACATGGTGTACAATATTCGTGAAATTAGGGTCAAGATAGTATTAATATTGCAAAAATATGAAAACTCAACAGAACTAGGCTCAAACATGCTCTTTTGTTCAATTACGCCCATGACCAAGTGAGGACTTTTACCCTCGGGCATCACTGAGAAAATGTGAAATTTTTTCGAGCAACCTCCGAGGATATGGAAGCTTTCATATTAGTCTATCACATATTCAAATTTCAGGTCGATTGGATGTCGTTTGGTTAGGTAAATGAAGAGGCCAAGTGGGTGACGTAGGGTGCCATAACTTATCCACTTATGTGCCTAAATTGTGGTCAAGTTGAATGGTTATGGTTTTCAATTCAACTCCTACGAGATTTCATCACAAAATGCCCTCCAATTCAATTGCAACTCATGTCCATTGCAACATTTGGCAGAATGCACAACTATCTTCACATAGACATTTTATCAAACACATGACTTGCATTATGTGGACTCTGCCAATTTGAATAAATTGAAGAATGAACTCCATCAATGATTGCCACAACTCAATCACTACAAAGCTTCCCATTAACTGTCCCATACTCCTTCACTATCTTCAAAGGTTGAAAATTACACTTATTATTTATTCCAATAGAATGAACCGAGAGGGATCGTGAAACATTATCTTGAGTTCTTGTGGAGGTTGATTTGATTTCACAACGGGTGAGTGATGAATGGTGTTGCAACGTTATATGCAAGATTGTGTGTGCAACTGTGAGTTTGTGTCATGAAATTTTGGGGAAGAACTTGCTCTAGAGTGCGAGTGTTGGGAATTGGGAATTGTGAGGTGAAGTGTTAAGTTACGGATTAAAAACCCATAACTGACTCTACCATGCGGCCGCATGGTGTTAATCGATGCGGTCGCATGGTATAATATTTTGTCCCCTTTTGAGTTTCGGTTAGTGTCCATGCGACCGACCGCATAAACAAATTTTTTTTTAAATGCAAATGGTTTTAGTAAATGATTATGCACATAAAAATGTAACAACACAAGGGATTCCCAAAAACATGACTTATCTCATATTTTCCTGAAATTTTGGTTTTCGATTGGTGAATTTGCCTGGCCTTCCCGCTCTCTCATACTTTTTTTTTTTCAAAAATACATTTTTAGACCATATGGATAACGTGTAGGCCATAGACTTAGTGCCAAAACCAATTTTTGATTTGAAATCACACAATAACTCCGAATTTTTTTAAAAAATAACTTTGTTTCCTCAAAATGCATGAATTTTACACCTAATCACCCAAAACAACTCAAATCAATCCCAACTCGTGCTCGATGCATAGGGCTTCGTGAGGGTAGTGTTTAGACTATTTTGACGTGCTTCGTAAGGGTAGTGTTTAGACTATTTTGACGTGCATGGATGATTGATGACCTAACTATCGAAAATGCGAACATAAATTTGAAAGATTCCTAAACTAATGCAAAAAGCAAAATAAATCAAAAAGATATAGTGGATTGCCCCACCCCAACGCTAGTTTATAGTCAACATCTCGACTTTCTTCTTATGCTTCAATTTGATGTCCCGAGTTGAACGATGGACTTTTTTGGGAGAAGTCACCACCCCAATAGTGTTTCAGCCTTTGCCCATTAACTATGAAGGTACCATTTGTTTCATGACTGACTTCTATGGCTTTATATGGCAAAACCTTTGTGATAGTGCAAGGATCCAACCTCTTTGACCTTAATTTTCCCAAGAAGAGCTTGAGCCTTGAGTTGTATAAAAGAACTTTCTGCCTCACTTCATATTGTCACCTCTGAATGTGTAAGTCATGTCACTTTTTGGTATGTTCTTTGTAAAGCTTTGAGTTTTCATATGCTTCCATCTTGAATTCGTCGCAGTAAAACTTTTCACCGACGGCCTTCAAATCCATGTTTAACTGTTTCATAGCCCAGTATGTACAGTGTTCTATCTCTAGTGGTAGGTGGCACACTTTCCCTAAAACTAGGCGGCATGGAGACATACCTATCGGTGTCTTGAATGCCATTTTATACGCTCACAATGCATCATCTAGCTTTTTAGACTAGTCCTTTCGGGATGAATTGATTATAACTTCAAGTATTCTCTTCAACTGTCGATTAGAAACTTCAACTTGCCCGCTGGTCTGTGGATGATATAGGGTAGCTACACATTGTTTAACGTCATATTTGCTCAACAACTGCTTAAATTGGCGATTGCAGAAGTGTTTGCCCCCATCACTGATTATCGTCCACGATGTGCCATATCTGGTGAAGGTAAATTTTTTTTAAGAACCCAATTACCACCTCCGCGTCATTTGTTGGCAATGCTACTTCTTTCACCCACTTAGACACATAATCAAATAGGGAAAAATGTCCCATAAAGTCGATTCCCCAGACGTCAAATATCTCAACTTTCAATATATTGTTAAGTGGCATTTCATTTCTCCTTGAGATATTCCCAGGGTGTTGACATCTATCACATCTCTTGACAAACTCAAAGGCGTCTCTAAACAATGTAGGCCAATAAAACCCTGATTGTAAAAAATCTTTACAGCAGTCTTTGAAGCTCCAAAGTGTCCCGCATAAGTAGATGAATGGCAGTGCTCAAGAATAGCAGGTATTTCATCTTCAAGTATACACCTCTTTACAATTTGATCAGCCTCTCACCTATAGAGAATAAGCTCTTCCCAAAAATAGTACTTCAGTTCAGTAGAGAACTTTTTCTTCTGGTGACTGGCGGTAGGATGGATTTAGCCAAATAGTTGACAATATCTGCATACCACGGTGTTTCTTCAACACTAAACATCTACTCATCTAGAAAAATTTCATTGATATCCACTAACTCTTCTGGTTCTTCAAGTTCCAATCGCGATAGGTGATCAACTACCACATTTTCACTACCCTTTTTGTCCCAGATTTCGATATCAAATTCTTGCAGCAGTAATACCCAATGGATTAATCTCAGCTTAGCATCCTTCTTTGTCATCAAATATTTCAGTACGAAGTGATCTGTGTAGACTATGACTTTAGACCCTACGAGATATGACCTGAATTCGTCAAATGCATATACTATGGCTAATAATTCATTTTCAATGGTAGTATAATTGATATGGGCATCATTCAGTGTTCTGTTTGCATAATAAATCACATGAAAGACCTTGTTTCTTCGCTATACCAACACTGCACCCACGGCATGATCGCTAGTGTCACACATTAGTTCAAAAGGCAATTTCCAATCAAGTGCTATAATTATCGGTGCTGACGTGAGTTTCTCCTTCAAAGTGTTGAAAGCTGTCAAGCATTCCTCATTAAACTCAAATGGCTCATCCTTCATCAATAGATTATACAGTAGCTTGGTGAATTTCAAGAAGTCCTTGATGAATCTTCTGTAAAATCCAGCAAGTCTTTGAAAATTGCAAACACCCTTAATTGATGTAGGTGGCGGTAACTTCTTAATAACTTAGATTTTTGCTTTGTCTACTTCCATTCCTTTGCTGATACTCGATGTCCTAGCACAATCTCCTCATGTACCATGAAGTGGCATTTCTCCCAATTTAATACCAAATTTATTTCACTGCATTTTTGTAAGACCAAATATAAGTGTTCTAAACACTCGTCAAACAAAGACCCAAAGACTAAGAAATCATCCATGAATATCTCTATAAACTTCTCTACCATGTCTGAGAAAATTACCATCATGCATCTTTGAAACGTGGCGGGGGCATTGCAAAGGTCGAAAGGCATCTTGTGGTATGTGAAAGTACCATATGGGTAAGTGAAGGTTGTTTTGTCTTGGTCATTTGGTGCCACTGGTATTTGATTGTAACTCGAATACCCATCGAGGAAACAGTAATGTGAGTAGCCTGCCAATCTTTTCGGCATCTGATCAATAAATGAAAAAAGAAAATGATCTTTTATTGTAGCTGCATTGACTTTACGGTAATCGATGCAAACCCTCTATCCTGTCACTGTTCTAGTCGTATTAGTTCAGTTTTATTATTTGGCACTACTGTGATTCCACCTTTCTTTGGCACCACTTGAATCGGACTGGTCCATGCACTGTCTGATATCAGATATATGATTCCTGCATCTAGAAGCTTGAGTACCTCTACTCTGACCACTTCCTTCATATTTGGGTTTAAACTCATTTGACTTTCTATGGTTGGCCGAAAATTCTCCTCCATGAGAATCTTATGCATACATAGTGAATGACTGATTCCTTTGATATCTGCTATCACCCATCCAATTGCTGTTTTATTCTCCCTGAGTACCCCAAACAGTTTCTCTTCCACTTCATTGACTGTGTTCGAGATAATGACCAAGATTGTACAAGACTCTCCTAAGTATGCATATTTGAGATGTGGCGATAGCTGCTTGAGTTCTAATTTAGGTGGCTGTTAAATGGATGGAAGTGGCTTTGTGGGTCCTGTCCTAAACTCCTCAAAATGACTTCTATGTGTGTAAGGTGGGTTGGTGTCCAAAAATCTTGCACATGTTTTCATCTCTATTGAATCGAAATGCGTTGACTAAGAGTTTGCAATGCAGGCTTCATAAGCATTAGATGGATTGTGTAGCAAAAATGAATCTTGAACCACCTCGTCAATCACGTCGATTTGGAAGCAACTATCTGACTCTGTAGGTAGTTTCATCACCTTGAAGACATTAAACGAAATATGCTCTTCTCCCAATCTCAAAATCAACTGCCCATTCTGAACATCAATTAAAGTTCTCCCCGTTGCCAAGAATGGTTTACCAAGTATCAATGGGATGTCCTCGTCTTCTTCCATGTCCAATATGAGGAAATTGACAGAGAATATGAATTTTTCAACCTTGATAAATACGTCCTCTATTATTTCCTTGGGATGTGTCAATGACTTGCCAGCCAGCTGTAGATCACTATAGTCGCCTTAGCCTCTCCCAAGCCAAGTTTCTTAAAAATAGACAGAGGCATTAGATTAATACTTGCACCAAGATCACATAAGATTTTATCAAAGTAAACTTCACCGATAATGCAAGGAACAGTAAAACTCCCTGGATCTTTCAATTTCAGTGGGAGCTTCTTCTGAATTCTGGAGCTGCATCCCAGTTAGCATGATCGTCTCGTGTTCCTCCAGCTTGCATTTATTTGATAGGATGTTCTTTAGGAATTTTATGTAGCTAGGCATCTGGACTAATGCTTCGACGAATGGGATGTTAATGTGGAGCTTCTTGTAAACTTCGAGAAACCTTTTATATGGTTGCTTCGACTTCTGCTTCTTTAACCTTTGTGGGAAAGGTATGGGAGGCTCATGAGGGTTTACGGTTGCTATTGCTTTATCTTGTGATTTGCCTGGTCCTCCAGCTGGGGTAGATTCCTTTATCTGCTTGTTATGCTTTATAGTCTTTTCTACAACAAGAGATGTTATTTCTGGATTTATACCCAGCCTTTTTACATGTATCTCAGGTAGTTGCCTTCCACTTCGAGTTGTAATTTCCTTAGCATGTTCTTTAGGGCTTATTTTCGTGTTACTTGGCAAACTACTTGGTGCTCTGCCAATCAAAGCAACGGCCATCTGTTCCATTTGAATCTCTAGATTTTTTATAGCTACATTCTAGTCTTGAAGAGTGGCCTCAATTTTTCTCATGAATTGATTATTAGCCTCCATGTACTAATTTGTCTTTTCCATGAATTTACCGAACATCTCTTCCAGTTGAGGCCTTTTCTCTTGCTACTGATACTGACCCTGTGGCCGATTCTAGTTTTGGTTGCTCTAAGAGAAGTTAGTGTGCTTTTTCCAACTCGGATTGTATGTTTGCCCATATGAATTGTTCTGTTGACGCTGTCCTCATTGAGCAAAATCTGTCTGCTCTATTCCTTGTATCAAGATTCGACATTCTGCTGTTATATGTTCGGCTCCGCATTTCTCATAACTAGCCTTCTTCCACTGTGCTGCGTTAGCTGATTGTGACATGTTTTCCACCTTGTAAAATAATGAGTCAATTTTGGCAAACAAAGCAGAAAAAATGTTCGCTTCACAAACTCCCGATGTCCTCTACTGCACTGCTCGTTCTGATATCCACATAGCTAAAGTAATAGCCATAGTCTCGAATAGTTTCAGTGATTCATCAATTGTCTTTGTGGATAGCGATTCGTTAGATGACGAGTCGACCATGCTCTTAAAGGCTGGAAGTAATCCAGCATAAAAGTACTGAACCTGGAGTCCATTGTTAATTCCATGATGTGAACACTTCCGCAGCATATTTTTAAATCTATTCCAGGCTTCATCAAAGTTCTTTGAGTCGCCTTAACGAAAAAAAAGATATATCATGCTTGAGCTTTGCAATCTTGGCAGGCGGGAAAAACTTGGTGCAGAATTTCTAAGCTAGATCATTCCATGTAGTGATGCTAGCGATTGGTTGCGAATTTAGCCATTCGATTTCCTTATCGCGCAGTATATGTGGGAACAACCTTAATCTCATTGCATCGTCCGAAATTCCTTGATATCTGAAGTGTTGACACATCTCCAAAAAACGAAAGACGTGCGTATGTGGATTCTCTTCAGTTCTTCCGTAGAATCGATGTCCGTTTTGAAACAGTTGTATCATGTTGGTCTTCAATTGGAAGTTAGGCTGCCCAAATGGTAGGTATACGATGCTCAAATGGCTCTGAATTATCTGACGGGTCATGAAATCTCATACAAGCATATTGTCTTCATCTGTTGCCCCTCCTTCATTGGCTTGAAAAATGAGATTGATCTATACATTAGCCATTTATTACCGTGCTTCTCTATTTTCTCACTGCATTCGATGTAAAGTTCGTTCAATTTCTGGATCGGTTGGGAACATGTCTCCTTCAGTTGACCTTAGCATGCAAATCTGCGAGAAAAATCAATAGAAGTGCTTAGATACTATAATGAAGCAAATAACTAAACAAGATAAAAATGAAATAAAATGAAATAGAAAAAATAGAAAAATTGCAAATATTTATGTTCGAATTAGTGTCAATGTAAATAAAATTAAACGATCACTCAATCCCCGATAACAGCGCCAAAAACTTGTTCACGAAATATATTCTTTCAGTTTAAAATACCGCAAGTGTATGGTTCGTTAACAAGTAATAAAATGGTTCAATTGAGTCTAAATGTCGTCCCACAGAGATTGAGTACGTAGTTCAATTTTATCTAACGTAACCTTAACGGAATCCAATTAATCCAAAGTGAATTTTTCTACTTAAGAAAAACCTAATTTAGATAAAAACCCTAATTATAGAATACCCTAGTTTTACAAACGTGATATTTGAATGAATTAAATATGCAAAACAGTGTTCTTTATATGAATTAGACTACAACGTGATGGTCGGAACGTAAATTGATTGTATTCAATGAAAATTAAACGCACTAGGATCACGTATTCCCATGCAATGATCACTTTAAACCCTAGTTTCACAATATGACAACACTATTGAATTATTGAAGAATCAATGCTCCTAAATCTATCCAACACTCTCTCTCGAGCAGTATTGAATCTATTCTCATATACCAGCAGCCTATATCTCTATGACAGATGTATATATATAAGAATGTATGTGATTTAATGAGCACTTAAAGATTTACGCAAAGCATAGGGATATATCTCTATCCCCTGTCAAATCCTACGATGATTGATACCTTGTCGAATTTATTTTCCTTCTCTCAAATGTAAGAAATCACCAAATATCACATAATTACATGTACTTAATTATGAAAATCAATTAATGTATATTAAATCACCCAAATAATCAAATACGTGTTTCTACCATGCGACCGTATGGTACACTTGGTTTTGGTTCAGGAATTCCCTGGACCCCTTTGTGCGACTGCATGGAAATTCTACTATGCGACTGCATCGTAGAAGTAATTTTCAATTCCTGCCATTTTGGTCCCCAAACTCTATTTTCTTGCTTATTGGCCTCCTTTCTTTGTCCATCTTGTTCCATGGTCTCACAATGATCCCCAATTGATACTTAGCTCATTTACATTCTCAATTCACCTTTTAGTTCAACTTTTGGTATTTGTGCTTTTGTCCCTGATCTTATAATTTCCTTCATTTTGGTCTATATCGCCTATTTTTCTCGTGAATTTCACAATGTCTATCAATATAACCTACAATACATGAATTAAACAAATTAAGCCACAATTCAAACACTTTACTTGTATTTAAGTCATGTTTGTGAACTAAATAAGTGCATAAAAATGCACTTATCACCTACGAATCGCCTACACCTTGTGGAATATTTATAAGAGCCAAATCTTGGAGTTATGGATGAAGTAGAGTTCTTAATTCCAAAGTCCTCATCCCAATCAAACTCTCAATGCATGATGAAATTTAATCCCTTATATATCTAGACTTCTAAACCAAAATTATTTAAGCTTCCTTCATGAACTACAATTCTAAATCACATGGAATCTGAGTCAAAACCTAACAAACTCCACCTTGACACAAATTCCATAATGCCCCGGTTAGGGGTAGTGCCTATCTATCCCAAGCCTCATCTGCCCCATCGAGAAGTAGGTGGAAGCTACTTCAATTTATGTATTGCGCGCTCTAAATCTAGCTAATTTTCCAATTTTGATGAAGAATTAAGTTTTCACTCTTTAACTCATTCTCCAACCTGTGATGCTTGAACTCTTCATTTTGGACAAAGTACCCGTGTCGACACGACATGACACGGGTACAGGTATTGAATACGTGTCGGATTCTTCAAGCTTCAAATGGACATGGCAAGAAATCTTTAGAAAATTCGTAGATTTACCTTAGCGCAGTGTCGCTAAAGATGGAAGATGTTTAGAAAGAAATAACAAGTTGATGTTGTCGATCTTTGGTCCAAAATAAATCAACAATGGTTGTCGGTATATGGTCACTTCAAACCCTTGAATTGTGAAGAAGAAGACAACGAAGGGAATGTGAGAGGAGATTTGGATTAAATTGGAGGTTGGGCTATTTTTATTGGGCTAATAATATGGATATGGGTGGGTTTAATTGCAATTGGAGCATGGGCCATTTTTAATATGGATATGAGTGGGCTAATAATATAATTGTTTTTACACTACATATATTTTAGTTTAATAAAATAATACAATTAATCATTTTATTTAATTTTTTTTTTCGATTCATCATTTTTAATTCAAAAAATACTACAATATCAAAGTAAAAAATAAAATTGAAGTTTGAAAAACGTACCCAAGTATTCGTGTCTAAAATTTAAACTCTTTTTAGCCATTTTCTTGTATCCCACGTTTTAAAAAATACTAGATCTAACACTTAGATACATACTCATACCCGATACCCATACCTGAGTTCGAACATCATAGTCTCCAACTCTTCCATCATACCCTTCCGAGCATACCATATATTTATCGGGCATACTTAGCAACTATGAACTAAATCCAAACTTTCTTACCAACAAAAGTACTTAGAGAACCAACCTTACTTAAATCATCTCATTCACTTCCAGTTCCAGCCGATTTACCAAAATTGCTCGAATCACCTTGAGCTCCCCAGCTCCACCTAAGTTGTTAAACTTGGTTGAATAATCACGAGCAACATAATTAACAAGATCACAACTAGCTCCATCTCAGCTATTAAGAAGTTCTTCAATATCATTGGTCAAATCACCATGAGCAACCCGATCACAACTAACTCTACCTGAGTTACTGCTTATCAAACCATAAGATGCAACTGCATCCACAGTGACCACTAGGCCTCTTAACACAAATAACCAGGGCCTTTCATTTTCCTTAACACAACTCGCATACCCTTATTAACTTTCAAAACTCCACCTCCATCGGCATATCTATACCCTATTGAATCAAAAGTACTCAAAGAGATTAAATTCCTGTTTATACCTAGAACATGTTAAACCTGACCAAGTGTTCTAACCATCATATTAAATATGACATTACCAATCCCAACTATTTTACGGAGCTCATTATTTCTCATCATCACTGAACCCTTGTAACTGTTTCATATGAAGAAAACCAATCCCAATTTGAACACATGAAAAGTACAAGCTGAATCAAGAACTCAATTCTCATCAGGTTTGGAGTCACCATCAGTAATAGCCAAAAGATCTCCATCACTGTCTTCTTTTCTAAGATTGACATTACCGAATTTTTTTGGTTGTTCCTTTTTATTTGTAGTAGCAAACATGTTCCGCCACTCATATCAATCCCTCTTCACGTGTCCCTTGTTGTTGCAATACCAAGAGACTTTATCACTGTCACTATCTTTGACTCTGCCCCTTCCATAACCACCAGTCTTCCTTTCACGAATAACAAACAATCTGCCCGGGCGTCAGACTCAACAGCCAAATACTTCACATTCTCCTTAGAATAAAGCGCATCATATACCTCGTCAATAGTAAAAGTATCCTTGACTATAGAGAATGATATCTCTAAGAGTCACATATAAAGGTAGCAACAAACATAACAATATCAACTTTAAATCCACTTCATCATATTTGACCTCCATGGTCTTCAAGTCAGGGACAACATCTTTGAACACCGATAGACGATCTTCTAAAGATCCACATTCC